ATCAGTCGAAGATCGTTTTTTATTATATTTTAGCCAGTTTTGTTACTAGTATAATGTATAGCATCAATTAATGTATTTATTTATTCCATTTTTATCGTTATCGTTATACTTAGTATGGAAAACAGTTTGGGGCCGTTCAAGTATTACGTAAGCACTAGAAATTTTTAAAAAAAATCGAATGGCAACCCTTACATTGTCTTTGTTAAAAAAACAATCGAATACTAAATCGAATACTAAACCATGTTGTGAGGATAATAAAATAGTAGATATAATTAGCAACCAAATATCTTTAATATTGTACCCAATAATAACCTTTTGTTTGTATCTAACGATGGACCTTAGGGTACTATAATAAGAACAAATAGGACCTAACCTAAATTCTTTACTAAATAACCTAACCTAACAATAAGCACAAACTAAGTACAATAGCAAAGAATTTAGGTTACTCATTATCTCTACAATTTTCCTTTAATGAGTTTAAATTGACAGTAATTTTTAAGGACATTACTGGCGATATATTTCAACATATATTTAACGGAGAACTAAACCATAGGTAATATAAATTAAAATTAACCTACGTTTACGTTTTAGACCATAATCTGATAATAGGCCGAGCCTACTTAGTCAATACTTTTATCGCAGACATTCAAAATAGGTTTTATCTGATAATGCCGATTGTCCATTAAAAGTTTTTAATGGACAATCGGCATTCATCGCGTCATTGCTTCGGCATTATGAACCTTAGAATATTAAGAAATAGGTGCATAATTAAGTTTTTAATTAAAGCCATAAAGAGCTGAATCTACTCAGCACATTTATATACAATTCTCCCACAATCGATGTGACTTATTAAGCTGCATGAACAGACAGATGTGAAATTCAATTAAGCTACGCTTCTCAAAGAGCAAAGATCATATTCCCATCTGTAGCTAGATTGTGTGACTATAGCTATCACTATACTATACTAGATAGGTAGCAAACAACAGCACAGTTTTTAAAATTATGTATATAATTTCATTATTTTAATAAAGAAAATTACATACACTATCATGTAATTGACAAACATACACATATATTCTATTTTGTTTATTGTTAAAGTCTGTGGTCAAATTGAGAATAGGTATTATTTGCCTATAGTATTACTGAATGTCAAATTAATTATGATCGAATTTCGACCACTGGGGGACCACTAGTTTATATAAATAACATTATGCTCGGGATCCATCAGGTGAAAGGAATAAATATTCATTCATTTGCTAATAAAATATTCGCTGAACTGTTAATTTAATTTTATTTCAAACGAAATAAGTTGGTAACAAAGTTGCACAATCCAACAACAGCTGCTCTCGACAATATTGTTTTTAAATTGCACTGACTGTGCATTGTGGGCGAGAGTGTAGTCACAATACTAATTTAAAACCAGTTATTACACAAGTATTGATGCAAGGGTGAATAAAAACCTGCGCAATTATAAAATGAAAACGGGATTCTAATCAAAATAGCAAATATATAAAAAAATTCTGGTCGACCAAACGAATATATATTAACAAGTGGTCGCACAGTTCTCGAAATTCGGCCATAATTAACATAAAAGTCAGTAAGACTATAGACAAATAATATTAAAGAGAAACAATATTAAACATAGACAAAAGTGTTTTATTAATTTAGTATATTTTTATACATAATTTAAAAAAATATATGCTTTATACACTCCTTCTCTATAAACTACAAATGTGCGAAATTTTATACTCCTTCTTGCGCGCAATTTTCGTATAAAAGGGTTCATAGTTTTTGCGTCATGTATTAATATATAGATATATATATATAAAGCTGAAGAGATTGTTTGGTTGAAGATTAAGCATGTTCAACCGAGCAAACTCTTCAGCTTCGAGTTAAAAATGATTTTAACCCATGTATCGAGAAAGGGTATAAAGTATACTATATTATGCTACGATTAATAGCAGTGAAGCTAAATTAAAAATGCTGATAACGGAGAAAATTTATTCGTTTTCTCTTTCTCTCTTTCTTACTCGTATGGGATGCAAAGTTCCTCGGATCAGCTATTTATTAAATAAAAATATAATATAGTCACACGACCTTAATTAAATTATGATTTTAGCAATCAAGCAATTTAAGTAGTCTATAGTATATGTCTCAGCAACGTAGCACATCACATACTTGATAATAAAACGTAGGTATTAACTCGAAAACTATAAATTTTAGAAAATCAACTTTAAAATTTTGCTTTAGTGTCGAAATTTATAAGTTTTGGGTTATTACAGTCTATTACTAAGAGTGTGATATCTTGGGTGCCATCCACAATTACATCACAGATTGTAGAGAAGGGAAAGTGGTGGACAAAGTGTAAATTGCATGACAAGGAGTCGACAAAGTGTTACATTGTGTACAAGGGGTGGAAAGTAACATTACGAAAATACATAACACTAAATTGCAATAATAAATAAAACATCAAAAAAATAATTTTGATATGTTATGAATTTTTTTTTTATATGAATGTTGCCACTCTTGCACTAACCAGTTTACGCTGTTGGGGCGCCCATGGATAATGCTAAGATGAACATAAGCTCAGGTCAGGTACGATGGGCTAACCATAGTGTCAAATGCACTAGGAATTTATCAAGATGGTTTCCTGGGGGAACTGCGTAGAGCTCAACCTAACAAAGTACTTTGTTAGCAATTGGGTCAGACCATGTTACTTATCCCTTCCCCCTCATTTGGTATACTAGTGTACTGCAAAATGTGTGACCTCAAACTAGAGGGAGGAGCAATACCGTCTTTACCATAAGGGCACACGGGGCCCGTGCCCAGGGTACCCATTCTCAGGGGGCCTCCGAAAGACTGACAATTTTTCTCACACTCGCACACTCACACACACACACAACATTCTCAAAAGATTTTTGTCGGGCACACTACACTTTTTTCACAAATCAGTAATGTTATTGTTCTTCTACCTAATGACCTTTTTTGTTTACTTTCCAAAAGGGCCCAGTATTCTTGTGTGTGCCCAAGGGCCCCAGCCTAGTTTAAGACGGCGGTGGGCAGGAGTCTTACAAATGTAAAAAAATATGTAATTTGTGTGACGTGATTTAAAGATAGCTTCTTGTAACGATTAGCAAAAGAAAAAAGAATCAAGGTGAAAGCAACTATAGCATCACTACCGGTACATCTGTGACCTCTACTTGATCCAATAATACTACATTAGCCTACATAATGTAAGTGAATAAGATAGATTTGATAGTTTAGATCGCAGATAAGCGAATTCATACTAATATTCATATGAAAGTGTGTATGTTTATTTATTTACTTGTCATGACTAAATGGCTGGACGGAAATGAATTAAATTTGGAATAAAAGCAGATTATACCTATCATAAAGTCAAACATAACATAGCTTTATACAGATAAAGACAATTGTATCCACCTTTTAATAATGTTAAATTTGTAAATAAGACGATTCTTATTTTTACAAGCAGGTATATTCTTACGTTAGAGAGACACTTAAATGAGTAAATAACGCTAAGAAATTAGCTAAAAAAAAATGAAATTAAGTTTCTTGTTCTCGGATCGCGGTAATATAAGTTTCGCCCGCCCTACATAATTCCAGAATTCATTACATTCTCGAGATCGGTTGTCTGGATTGGTACTGAATTATCTATGCAATGCATGCAAACAGGCACCTCAATGCATTATGATTATGCTATGATCCGATATGTAGATATATGTAGATACGATCCAATAACTGGTCATTCCAGGCACCATTTTAGATCCAGTGCCGTTTGGTTGCAGTCGACGTTGCGTTATATTTACTAGATATGTTTTCTTAATAATTACGTATATTTCTGTAATTATTAATAGAAGATATTAGATATAATCATATTGAAATATATAGAAAATAACTGAGTCAGAATGGAAGTAAGAAACAGTTGGACACCGTTAACAAGTGTAAAGTTAAGCGTTTCGTGACGTAAGCACAACTGCATTGTAGTATAGCATTTATAATAGTCACACATACAAACAATAGTCATTTAAAAATCTTACTAGGGCCGTATGCGTAATACATTTGCTAGGTATGAGAACAATTTGTCGCCACCGTAATGTGGATTGAATAGAAATCAATTGGCCAAATGATTTCCAAACACCGTGTAATTTATTCCCCGAACATTACTCGTGATTTTTACAACTTTCACATCACGCTTTACAAGATAGACACTCAATACAATAATGCCAATGTTTGATGTCCCACCATCAAACCGACAGCAAGCAAATAGATAGTTACAATAATTGTCTTGTATTGGTCACATCTGGTGTAGCTACTTGTACCCGAACACATAACTTCACTAATTCCAATCACGGACAACACACCTCACAAATATGCACAAACTAATTAACACACCATAATTATAAAATATGAAAAAAGTTCGTTTCGTTTTAAAAAAGTTCGATAGAAAACACTAAACACCGGGCCACCGGACAACATTCACGGTCCAACGTACCAAACAAACTTGCTGTCTCTTGCTTTTGCTTGCTCCATTCTCATACCGAAGACAGAGACAGAAATATATCACGTTTCTTTCTATTACGATAGTAAGTTAAAAGGATTCTACCTACCGACTTGATAATAACGAACTCAATCGATCGTTTAAATTAGACGGTTTATACATGGAGGAAAATATTGTACAAGTGTGAAGAGTACAAATCCGGCGTCTATGAAAGAGAGCGTGCGCATGAAAGAAATAGGTGTATTGTAGACAAAAAACAATCATTCGTCGTCACGTGTGCATCTGTCAAGAGATAGTCACAGTGTATAATGACCGGTATATCATTACCTTAAGATACAATTTAGCTTTCATAATATAAATATTAAGCATTATTGTTTGTTTACCTGACTATTTAGCGCGTTATTTAAAACATACTGAATTAAGTGAATAAATAGACATGTATGTTAAACATTACGATTAAAAAGATAAAATAAGATCTTACCTCACTGGAGTCGGAGGTGCTGGTCTTTTAGTATTTTTGATTTCATTTGCGTTCATCCAAATGTCATTGTTGTTAACAATCTTGGCTGGTTTTTCATTTTTATCAATCACTTTCGGTTTCAACGAAGGTGGCAAGAGACTATCCGATGGAGTTTCGGGCACATACGACTTTTTGACTATTTTAATGACGGAGTCTGATCGTTTTAGGTCATTTTTTGAGGTTTTCTTTAATAATTTCCCTCCAGGATCGGGTGTTTTTAAACTTGTTTTGTCCGGCCGCTTTAATTCAATTGACAATTTGTTAGGTTTCTTTAGAGGTGGTTTGGTATGATCTGCTCTCTTTAGCTTCACTTTTGATGATGAGTTCGGTAACGGCGGCGCTGAAATTGTTATTTTTTTATTATTATTTATCATTAGTTCGACTCTATGGTACAAACATTTATGTCCATGAGTATGATTATACGATACATTGTGTCTGCCTGTGTCTATGCATATATATTTTTTAATTATGAATGGAATGGAGAATAATAATATGAGTATGAAATCAGATCAGTCAGTCTATCACCTACCTACTACACCTAGTTTAGAAATTTACCATGATAGTTTCGAGGGGGAACCGCGTGGAAATCAACCTAACTTGGTATTCATTGCTAGCAATTGGGTTATTACTCCACAATACTAAAAATCCCCTTCCCTCCCAGTTTATGTGTGGTCAGTAGTCACAGATAAGATATTACGGTATAGTATATATGTTTAACAACAATAATTAATTTAGTACCTACGTATAACACAAATTAGGGTTGGGATATGGGATTACCTACTGTGCATTGTGTGAATTATCCTAGGTTATTAGAATAGAATAGAAAATCATTTATTCAAATAAACTTACATTGAAGTACTTTTGAATAGTCATCACATTTTTTTTTTAATCTACCGCTCATTCGAAAAGTTGTCTCATCACAAGAAGAACGAGCAAGAAACTTGCGTGTTGCTCTTTTAAATAATTTTATTATTATTACTATTATTTTTATTAATGAACTCTTTGGTTATGTTATTTTAGTGTAAGCAAAAAGTATGCTATTTTCAATTTATTAAATTGATCATCGGACAATACGAGGATCATTATGGCTGATAATAAATTTAGGTACTTCATACTTTAATATAACCACAGATAAGATAATACCATAATACAGTGCAACCTCAATATAACGTACCTCAATGTAAAGACTTCCTCGATTTAACAAATTAAACAAAAAAAAACATTTATATTGCGAACATTTTTTGTGAACAACCGTTTTATAACGAATTTTTAACTATCAAGAAAAAGCGTAAATATCTCTAATTATTGAATGTTGTCAACCCAAAACCTTTATATAAAGTTCCCAGCAATGTATGACTCTTAACCTCATAGTATGTGATTCATGTAAACCTAACTATCCTGTAGAATCCAGTTTTTGAAAATTGCAATAAAATTACAGTACAGGTATAACATATTGTCCTTTGGAATGATAATATATCAGTGCTACTGGCGCCACATGACGGGCGGCGTCAAGACTATTATGCTCTTCATGTAATATAGGCGACGGCTGGCTCCTACATAAGGTGGGCCGTAAGCTTGTTTGCCATTCCAGTTAAATAGAATAGAATAGTAAACTCTTTATACAAATAAACTTATAGCAATTTTGAATAATCATATTTATTATCAACCACATTTTTAATCAACCACACATTCAGTAAGCTGTCTCGTCACAAAAAGCATGACCTTAAAACTTGCGTGTTGCTCTTATAAATAATTGTCGTAAGATTATTTTAAGTTATAAGTTATAATGTATAGGAATTATTTTAAGTCATAAGTTGAAATGTGTGAATATAAACTACCAACTAGATCTAATTCATGTTTAGAGTCATAATATCAAATACACAATCAACTGGTTAAGTAATGTAATGCAATATTATATTATCTGTGGTCATAGTGTTTAGCAGACCAGTCCCTACAAGCTATGTAACTTTCACCATCGCATCGCTCGCCATCTACAGGGCCTACATTCCCACACGCCGGAACCTAATTGCTCTCGGACAGTACGGTTTCAGAGGGGCTTCCTCCCGTGTTCACTTAAATTATGGAATAAACTACCTGCCGAGTTTTTCTCGAGAGACTACAGCATGGAATTTTTCAAGAAGGGTTTAAGGTTAGTTAGTTAATTATGATATATATTAAGTTTTCTTAATGGTCGGCAACGCGCAACTCACACCCGTGGTGTTTCAGGCGTGTATAGGCTACGGTAACCGTTTACCATCAGACGGGCCGTATGCTTGTTTGCTACCATTGTAACGTAACAAAAAGAAAGCAGATCAGATTCACGAAAAGGAGAGATGATAAAAAAAATAAAGGTAAATGTTTACCTGTTTTAGGCCTATTCCTAGTGACAGGTTTGGTCTCCGCGCTGCCTATCTTGGCGGTTGCCTCGACTTCCGGTGGGGCGGTAAGGACCGCCTTGCTGCGCGAGCTGAAGGTAGCCTTGAAGAGGTTCGACGAGAATCCTCGCCGGGCTGCTAGGGACTTCGAGCTCGTTTGGGATTGTCTATGGACACAGATAAGAGTACCATAGAAAAATATTTTTTATATAAAATACTAATGTTATAAACGCGATAGTTTGTGAGTATGGGTGATGGATGTTTGTTACTCTTTCACGCAAAAACTACTGAACGGATTTTGATGAATAGAGTATTGTAATAGGTAAAGATATTATATGAATTGAGTGGAATATAATGACAAATGTAATACAAGTAGGAATGTGTAATGCAGACGAAGACGCGCGGGTCAGCTAGTACAAAATCTTTAAGCTCTATTGGCCTTTTTGACATAATTATATAAACTACTGTCAACAAATAACCTCCATGGGCAAACTATTGTGTAATTAAACGTTTAATTTAAGATATCTAGATTTAGTAAATATTATTAGTATTTAAGTTAAATATTTCTCGTAAATATGTACATTGCGTCAATTATAAAACAATACATTCAGTATATTTATGATAATAAAAAAAACAAAACAAAAACAATTTATAGGGGACACCCGGGTTTGAACCGGGGACCTCTCGATCTGCAGTCGAATGCTCTACCACTGAGCTATATCCCCAATGACAACATAATACGAAAGTAGCGTATGCATGTTACAGTAACTACTGCCCTCTATTATCATTTTAAACACTTACTTCAACATCTAAGCAATTCACCACGAATAAGATAGATGGCGCTATACATAAGACTAGCTTATAGATTACTTTCTTCTAGAAAATGTTTATCTGTAAAACAGAGTTCTAGAAACTGGCTGAACTTTTGAAGCTGCGAGACTTACTGAAGTTGAATATTATTAGGCACCCCCGGCGCCTTCTGCTGCATAACCTCCTCGATCTGGAACAAATAAAAGAACATTTAATAATAAATCTAAATTAATTAGTTATACATCCATTTTCGTTGTATTTCGACCGGATTTTATTTAATACACATTAGAAATACCCAGTGTCACATTTCTTGTATCTACCATTAAGCAAGTAATCACTACATTTTAATAGGTGCTGCAATTACGTTCAGTATTTTTTTTAATATCATGATTTCTTTTTTATGTGTAACTGGTATAGCAAGCTAAGGTCCTCAGCTCCTAATCTGAGGGAAAGTAGCCATGTTGTCACGTGTCACCATTATTATAATTCCGAAGTACTAAGGTATTTTAAAAATTTTCAATAATGATATGTTTCATACCACAATCGCTACATACAAAAGAAAGCTGCTTAGCGGCAGAAATAAGTGAACAATACCAACAAAGAGGACTCTCTAAAAACTATAGATTAGTGTACTAGAGAACCATTCAAATAACTGAAACTTGGATAATCTTTGATATGGTACATTAACATATACGAGAAACTTAAAGGTTCTGTTAAGGACCTCATTTTTCATCGCGGCGAACCACAAATTAACCATGACGGCTTCTTGGGGGACCACAGGGAAATCGACTCGACATAGTTCATTGAAAATAAGGATGCTAGTTCCTTTTACTATCGACGCCGTCCTGCATCCTTCTTAATAGAATACCAGTGCAAAATATCTGACTGCAGGATGGTCGTCTTCACATGATATATTGATAGTAGACCCTGTCCTTTCTCTTAAATACAGTATCGTTTTAAACACAGTTGTCAAAACACACATTTTGGTTTAACGAAAACACAATTTCAAAAAGGTAAAAAAATAAGTCGGAAAGTAAAAAAATAAGTCGGAAATGAAATTGTCATTAAGAATATTATTCCAGAATTACAAATGAAGGGAAATTGTTTATGGTAACACTAACATAAAATTCGTCAAGTGGAATTTGGTATAATTCCACACGTTCGATAAAAGAACCGATAACATTTTCACTTATTATTGTTCACTTAAATTAATTAACAATTACGACGTGTCACGAATGAATATTATTGAATGTAAATACTATTAATAAATATATATATACATACAGAGCCTCTAAACATTGTTGCACTTAACTCCCGACTTAAATAAAGTAATTCAATATTTACAGAACTTCGGCGTTAGCTTATCTTTGATGCAATAATTTGTTATCATCAATTCTTTATAAGTTGATTATATATTAGACAAGTCATTAATTAAATTTAAATTTAAAATATTGTTTCATTGAGACTTTGCGATTATCATAATAATGATAATAATAATTTATATTTAATTTTTATTATCATCATTAATTTTATTGAAAAATAAATATATTTTTTATTTTAATTTAACTGATAAATTTGGAAGTGTATTATAATATCCCTGGACAATTCATACAAGCTATCTAGTCCCAAGCTAAGTACGGCTGCAAAGTACCATGCGCGGAATCGAACCCGCAGCCATCGCAAGTAAAGCGGTGTGCTAAACAGCTAGACCACGAAGGTTAAGTGCATGACATGTGGATTCAAATTTCAAAGCGGAAACACGGTTAGACGTTTAGAAGGTTGCATACGAGACAAGTTTCATATGAGCTTATATAAATAAGATAGTTCTTCGAATTACGCCGCTTCGTCCCACGGGAATGATGCGGTTTTCCGAATCAGTAGATTTTCAAAGCAAGGTATCAGTTACTTAACGCGTTTCATGTTTCCAACCTAGCTCAGCACGTGACTTCATACCCATATGTGTCTAAACCGATTGGAATATACAAACCATATGATATAGAGTCACGTGGGGCAAGTGTGCGCACTTAAGGTTTGAAGTATCATATAATAAAATATTTGAAGTTAACTGGAACAAAACAAGGTTTATTATATAAAATATTTAATAATCAACAACTTAAACGCAAAATAAATAATTATCATTTACACAAATTCTTTGGAAATCAACAAAATCAAAACTGTTTAAATGCGCACACTTACCCAAGTATAGGGGTAAGTGTGCGCAGTAGTGCGGGTAAGTGTACGCAACATGTAACATACAGTAAATAGAGTCAGACTCATATGATAAACCAGAAAATAGACATCCTCAACCTAATAATACATCAGTTCAAATAATTCCTTTTCAAAGTTATTGCATTGTTCATGCCACCAGCTCTTACAGATGCTGTATTGGATCCAGTCTTCATTCGGTGGAAATATGTATTTTTCTCCACACAGTGGGCAAAATAATTCCTGCTCATCATTTTATTTATTTTCAGATCAAGTCGTATCTTCTTTTTTGGCAATTTATTCTTCCTCTTGTTTTTTGTTTTTCCAATTCTACTTTATAAGGACTTACAGTATCAATGATTGACTTTTTGCCTTTCTTTCGCCGATTTTGAATCACAGTCATTCATCCAAGAAATGCCTAAGGCCAACTTCGGTATTTCTTGGATGGATGACAGTCGTACATATTCATTCCTAGACGAAGGTACACTCATTATTGCGGGTGCCACACTGTCGTTTGCTACCAACCTCCGAAATTAATCTTTTAACAGCTTCTAGCTGTTACTCTGTGACAACACTTCTATCCGGCATATTTCTTTTATAATCGAGGCATTTTTATGTATAATTAAACTCTGAAATAACAAATTGCATCATAAATACAAAGCCAAAGCGGAGCGGGGTAAGTATTCGCATGCGCACACTTACCCGACATTCGTATGCGCACACTTACCCCAAACCATCAAAATAAAATTTAACCAGAACTGAGCAATATTACGTAATCGTCATCACCAAAAGATTAAACACGGCTTATATTACATAAAATGTACTGTTCGATGGTATAAAGCATGATTTCAAAATATAAATATATTACAAAGGAATGAGTCTCTCATTTAAGACAAAAATCGCAATATTTCAAGCAAAAAACAATACTCACTTACGGAAACAAAATGGTTCACCGGCGGACAGTGAAAAAGTTGCACTAAATATAGCCTTTTGTGCGCTAATGAGGAGGGGTTTATCAGTTCGTACCTATAAACCGTTTTTGAAATACTTCGAGTGCGTACACTTACCCGCTGCGCACACTTGCCCCATGACTCTACTAATTTTACTCCGCGTTGCCATTCATAAGAAAATAATTGTGTATATTTTATCAAATTTGGTGTTACTTTGTGGAAGTTCATTTCATTACTTAATGAATTTATATGTATTCACACGTTTTGACTTGTAAAATGTGAACTTACAAGGATTAATTAAAAGAGCTACACACAAGTTTCTTGCTCGTTCTTCTTGTGATGTGACAGCTTTCCGAATGAGCGGTAGATTAAATAAAAATTGTTATGACTATTCAAAAGTGTTTAAATTAAGTTTATTTGAATAAATTATTTTCTATTCTATATTATTTTCTTTAATTCCGCTACCAATTGCATATGTGGGACCATTGTTGACTGTTAGTCGCTGAACAATCAACACAATATGCTTACAAGGTTTATGGGAACTCTATTCAATGCCTGATGATACCGCGTTCAAAGGCAATACATAATAACAATAAATAAATATCCCTGGACAATTAACACAGCGCCATGTAGTGACTACCGACGCCCAACTGATATAAATACTAAGTTTTTTTTTGGAAATACTATACGCAATATACATAGAAAACACCCAGACCGATACAATCATACTCATGAATACCAATGCACCATGCGAGGAATCGAACTCGCGACCATCGGAAGTAAAGCGGCTAAACCGCTAAACCACTGAGGGCGTCATTGTGTCGCAAAAAGGGTAAAATTTGGAATTTTATCGCCAATAGCGGTAACGTTGGCAACGCTTCCAATAGCGGTGGTCAGGTTTCCATACCGAATATTTGTGATGTAAATGGTAGTGTAATTAAACAAAACAATAGAAATCCATCAAGTGCACAATATTATATAGTAATATTGTATATTATTAAAAGTAATATTATATAATACAATATTATAATAGTACACAATATTATATTGAAAGAATATTCCTGTAATGTTACAGTATCGTATCGACTGGGTGTTAGATTATGTTATCTGTGGTGTTGGTGTGTGAGATTGAGTGAATTTTTTTTTCTTACAACTATGAACTGATATTCTCTTCTTCTGCGCACTCCAGTCCACATTTTGGTTGCCTTTAAATATTTATTATTATATTATCTTTAAATTACTTGCTGTTGAAAAGTAAACAAATTTACTTGATGACAAAATTGACAGTTTGTTCAATGTACTTTGTAACGTAATAATATATGTCAAAGTGATAAGTTTACAAGAAAATTAAAAAAGAGAATTAAAAAAGATTTTATGGTATAACTGAAGGTGATCACACACAGACGCCTCAATTTTATTTACCTACATATAAAATGAAGTGTTTGTTTGTAATTTCAAATTTCTTAAACAGCTTTTCACTAAATGCCTAATTATGATATACATATAATGGTACTTACATCAATATCTTAATTTAAAAAAATAATTGTATCTCTATAATACTCTGTATGTTATTGTTCATTTCTGAAACGGCTGGATCTATTCTGACGGGACTTTCTCTCGTAGACAATTAATGTCACATGGAGTAACTTAGGCTATTCTAACTCTAGATTTTGTATTAATTTTAATAAAAAATATGGTTAAATTAAATTCTACGCGGAGAAAGTGGCGGATAACAGCTAGTTTATAATATAATACATTCAGATTATTGACAGACAACTTTTGTTTATTGATACATAGCTGTAGAAATATATTTTTAACTATTTCATTTATTACCTTATTGCTGTTGGCCGCATCTGACCTTTTTACAGCTTTACCCGGGCGAAAATGAGGGTGAGTGCAGAGGACACCCCATACCCGCGGGACTTATAGAGCGGCTGAAGGTCAACTCCTGTTTGACAGATACGACTTTACTCTGAGGGCTCTTTTAGGGGCAGAAACTTCGCGTTAGATCGTCATAGTCGTAATTACGATTCCCGTTTGACCGGGGATCTACAGAAAGGTGTTAAGATTTTTATTGTCTTGAAACATAAAATAATAACGAAGTTACATGTCAACACTGACCTTGCACTTTCGCCGGCATTGTGTGACACCCATGTGGAGTGTAGCGAAACAATAATTACGTCCAAACAGAGTTACCACAAGAGTATTGAATGACACCGCCTTAAGGTGTGCTAAAATTTGCAAATCTTGTGCTGGTGTAGGTCACAAGAAAAAGCGATCAATTTTTTAAGTATATTTTGTCCATTGGTTTATCTGGAATCTTCCTTTTAAATTCATTTTTGTCAATTGGTCTATTTGTAAGTCAAGCTCCGAGTATATTGAAGATGTCTATTTCCACATTTAATGTTTAGTTCAATTTACTTTATATATCATTTTATCATTCGTCGTGTAATGAGTCTGCTTTCCGAATGTGTGGTGCAATGAAAAAAATACGACTCTAATGTATTTATATTAAGCATGTATGAAGCAGCACATAAGATTATTTTTATTCTATTCATTCTTTTATAAAAGAATATGTAGCCCTATGATTATCCTCGCCACTGTAGCGTTATAAATATATATGATGAGGTGTCGCTGCTTATTTTATTTGTTTCCTGTAATGTCTGAGTAGTGGCATACCAGTATTATACCATACCAGTGTATATACACATTAGCAAGTTTATTTGATAGTGTGCTATATAAGAATTGTTGTGGCTTATAAAAATTGCGAATACTCAACGGACTAGATTGAACATAAATCTAAGTTATGTAGAGACATAAACTAATATATCATTGCTTTCTTGATTTAATTGATTGATTTTAGAAATATGAAAGCGTAGCGGTTTTTGTATTAATTGCCGCATGCATTCTTATGTAAAATGTGTATACTATAACTATCAGATGGCAATTGTGAGTAGCTTTGACGTGGTCTAGTGTTTTGAGTAGTCATGCTACTAAAATGTCCAGACTTGTGGCGGCGTGGTGGGCCGGGTCATTGGGCTCCCTAAAATATGGTCGAGCGCAGTGATGGCTGGCTCATCCGTCATACTCGTGAACGGGTGCTGCTTGTAGGGACTGGTCTGCTCTAATCACTATGACTGATTTCCTCTTATTAATTGTTTAACCAGTTGGTTATATATTCAATATTATTTCTATTTGAGTATTTAATAGAATTAGTGCTAATTGGTGGTTTGTATTCACACACTTAAACTTAAAAATGTAAAGTAATAATAAAATTATTTAAAAGAGCAACACGCAAGTTTCTTGCTCGTTCTTCTTGTGATGAGCTTTCCGAACGAGCGGTAGATTAAAAAATGTAATGACTATTCAAAAGTGCTTCAATGTAAGTTTATTTGAATAAATGATTTTCTATTCTATTCTATTCTATTCTATTCTAATAGAAAGATTCCGAGTGTTAATAAAGTAGTGTTAGTAAAGTCCAAGTGTAAGCACATATAGAGAAAGCGAGAGCAAGAGATAACAACTATTCTGATTAAATAATTACCTAGATACTAACAAGAAATAATTAGTATTCAGGACAGACTCTGGTTATATAAATGGGAATATATTTATTAACTACAATTACTACTAACTATTAATTATATATTTTAATTTCCCATAGGAAATGCAGTTACAAAGAAGAAGTTATACAAGTTTCTGTTAGTATTATAAATTAATTTTCCTGCATTAATAATTTATACTATGGTAGGTCCTGTTAAAAAAATAGTATTGGCAGTAAGTTTATCACTTACTCCACAGTATATTTCGCCCACACCGCACCCTTTATGAAGTCGATATAAAAACATTTACAGTCATTGATCCCTACTGCAATGATATCATTTATATATAAAGTCATCACACAATTTATACAAAACAAATGACATTAAAACATTCTAGAAATTATCTCAGTCTGACCTCTTTCAGCCGTCAGGCAGGTTACTTTGCATCTTTGTGAAATGAATTTCAGTTGAAGGGTGGTAATAAGTTCCTTAAATAGTTTTTTAGTTATCGTGAGTAGGGCGACTATAGCTTAAAGACACATCTACTACGCGAATTCCTTTAGCATATGATAAAGCAAATGTATATATATATATTTTTACAAAAGCTAGTTCTGAGAAAATTTAAAATAATAATACAACCTTTTTTCAAATAAATTAACAAAAAAAAAAACAAATAACCTATGTACCTATTATGTCATATTTTTGTTCGCATCATATATACAGTCATTCGGTGAGGAATGGGATTGATAATAATAAGGACAAAAGAACCGATTGCTAGAAAGGTACCGTGTCAGATTGACCTCCACGACGTTCCTCATTGGAAACCATTGTAATATATTCCTAGTGAACTCACGATAGGCTAACTGATCTGACCTCATGTTCGTCTTATCATCCTTTACTCGTGTCCCGCCTGCGTAGACCGCAGTGCAGGGGGAGCACCATACTCTTATTATCTATTTAAAACAAAATACAGTTAATTGGTATAGATATGTAATATTATGTTATCTGTGGTACAGATGACTCCGACAGTGTATATTTTAACGTGATGTCGTCTAATTTATCAAAGGTAAGAATGGCAACAAACAATTTAAATTATTATTCGATAGCACCTCCTTAACACTTTTTTTTATGTAACTGGAAGGACAACAAGCTCGTCTGCTTGTTTACCATTCGTCGTTTGGCCATCGCCCACCTGATGGTAAGTGGCTATACATATACATGACGTCTGTAACATCGTCAAGTCTTCATGAGTGCCAATGTCGGCATACGTTGCCAATCCGGTCATGCCTCCTTAATCTGTAATGTGAGTACCAATGGGGAGCGAAACTTTCAATATTTTTCTTTTCAAGTAGAATAGTATAGAAAATAATTAATCTAAATAAACTTACATTTAAACACATTAAAATAGTCGTACTTATGTTTTTAATCTACCGCTCATTCGGATAGCTATCTCATCACAAGAAGAACGAGTAAGAAACTTGCGTGTTGCTCTTTTAAATAATTGCTGTTACTTTTTTGTTTTTATTGAAATACTACCAACTAGCATTGACTCTGAGTCAAACTACTAAACACACAATCAACTGATTAAGTAACTAAGATTAAATCAGTCATTGTGATTAGAGCCGACCAGTCTAATTTATATTGAATCCCATGGTTTTTTTCACTATGACCATTATCAAACGACACATGTGTTGACATTATCACTCTTGATAAGATAAAATTTAGAGCAAGGTTAATAACAAAACGTTTTATGTTATCCTATCTTCCATGGTAGGTACCTAAATGAGTTTATCACTTTCGAATACAATTCAAACAACCTTACCTACATAGACAAGGCTAAAAAAGAGTGGTAAAGGGCAGGAAATGTTACGTTAAAAAAATTAAAATAATATATTATGACTATGTATTTCATGGTTATTATTAGACTAGCTAACCCGCGCAATTTCGTCCGCATCACACTTACTTGACATTTATCATTATATTTCTCCCAATTTACATAATATTTTTAAATGTTTGCCTATGTGTTATTCTGACGTATGAGCTATATTATTGCAAAGTTTCATCAAAATCCGTTCTGTATTTTTTGCGTGAAAGAGTAACAAATATCCATCCATCTATAGTCACAAACTTTCGCGTTTATAATATCAGTAAGATAAGATTATAAAATATTTTTTATTAGTATATATTTGATAATCTGTCAAGTTATAAAACGATTGGCAGATTTTTTTATGGATACTAAATATTATGAAGAAAACTACAGTGGATTCTGTTATAAAAAATGTGAAATAATAAAATAACTAGGTACAACGATTTGAGAAAATCTTTCACTGTTTGAAATGTAAGAGTCACTCCAGAGTGGCAAAGTTCTATACCTACTACTTGTTGACAACGGGAAACGTTGTTTTGGCATATAAATTAATATCGCTATTAAAAAATAGGGGTTGGTAGTAGAAGGGTGAAAAATTAGGTGTAGCTATACCTAAATTTTGTGTGTATTTTTTATGCCATAAAATAAAAAAAATGCCATAAAAATAAAAAAAAATAAAAAAATGGGGTAGGCCACCCTTATCACTTAGCGGTATAAAAATAGATAACAACCTATTCTCAGATCTACCGAGTATACATACCTATAGCGGTTTCTCAGAAGTATGGCAACT